GGAGCTACAGTTCATTGAGGGAACCATGAATGCCAACATGTACTGTCACATACTGAAGCAGAGCATGATCCCCTCCCTTTGGAGACTGGGCCACAAGGCATGATTCCAACATGATAACGATCCCAAACACACCTCCAAAACGAGTTGTAAAGCATATGTGAAGCTGAAGGTAAAGGTGATGGACTGGCAAAAGTGTCTTCAGACCTAAACTCTATTGAGCATCTGTGGGGCATTCCGAAATGGAAGGTGGAGGTGCACAAAGTCTCTAACATCCACCAGCTGTGTGATGTCATGGAGGAGTGGAAGAGGACTCCAGTGGCAACCTGTGAAGCTCTGGTGAACTCTATGCCCAAGAGGGTTAAGGCAGTGCTGGAAAATAATGGTGGCCACACAAATTATCGACACTTTGGGCCCAATTTGGACATTGTCACTTAGGGGTGTACTCACTTTTGTTGCCAGCAGTTTAGACATTAATGGCTGTGTGTTTGTTATTTTGAGGGGACAGCACATTTACACTGTTATACAAGCTGTATACTCACTGCTTTACATTGTAGCCAAGTGTCATTTCTTCAGTGTTGTCACATGAAAATATATATTTATGAACTGTGAGGGGGTGTACTCACTTCTGTGATATACCGTGTGTGTGTGTGTGTGTGTGTGTGTGTGTGATTGATTGATTGATTGATTTATATCCCGCCTATCTAGCCGGTTAAGACCACTCTAGGCGGCTTCTTTCAAAGCAGTTCACAATAAATGAAAACTATACAATGATCACAATTAAAAATACCATGAGAAAGAACGTTAAAAATGAAAACAATATTAGATTAGGCATCCTTCAGTCTCAAGAGACTATGGTAACATGCTCTGAAATACCATTAAAATGTTTTTATAAACATTACAAAAAATCTCTACATTCAATAGATGCAGGATTCCTAAAACTCCTGCTTATTGGTACAAGGGATGGTCTTTGCCTGGAAGGACAAGAAGGATATTGAAAAGCCAATGTGGTTTCTCAAAAGAGAGCGTTCCACAGCCTGGAAGCAGTCATTGAAAAGACCCTCTCTTCCATCCCTGGGAAATCCAGAAAGGGTGGTGGAACTGAAAGAAGAGGCTCCCCAGATTGAGGTACTTCTCTACCAATGCCTTTGTGTTCCCAGGAATCCTTGCGTGTCTCCAGGACTGATCCTAAGATCAAGACCTCAGATATGGGGAAACTGGCTCACTATCACACGCTCCACATGGCCTTCTGGGCACTTCATCTCTTCCGGAGTGAGATGCAGAGGCTGCCTAAGCCCAGAAATCAAGTAAGTCTGTCTAGTCTTCTTTTCTGTTTTCAGCAACTCTGTACCCTTCTCGGAGGCTATTTGATATTCCCGACATGCGAACTATGCAACATACAGTTCCTTCCTTTTGCAGAGAAGTTCATTGGGTGTTTATTTTTTATTTTTTTTGCCAGCAATTATGGCATCACCCAGGCCCCTTTCCCAACCTCATCCATCACTTATTCCTTGGCAGGCTGATGCAGACAAGATGGTGGAACTGGCACAGACCGTATCTATGGGCCAGGAGTCATTGCAGGAGGATCTAATCCGGACCTTTGCCTATGGGTGTACAGGGGACCTGAATCCTCTCAATGCCTTCATTGGAGCACAAGCAGCCCAAGAAGTGTTGAAGGTAACCAGCCTCTCAGTCCTTGTTAAACAGCAGGTGGCTTTTTGAGCTTTTCTGTTTGGCCTTGGGCAAGCTGCACGGTCCCAGGGCACCCCCACAAGAAGGAGCCGGTAAACCACTTCTGTACCTAGAAAACTCCCAGAAGGGGTTGCCATAAGTCAGAATTGCCCTGATGATGCATGGCTGATAGTATTATTTGGAGGGCAATTCCCATGATGCATTTCTACCTCCCAAGGAGTATTGTAGGTTTGGGGAAGGAATGAAGTATTAAAATGTCAAAGCCTGCAGCTGCCACTGACTGGAGATGTTTCATTTTGTAGGACCTACCCCTTATGTGAAGGGTACTAGTCCTTTCCTTGGTTGCTTTTTACAGGCTATGCTGTAGCCTGTAGACAGATTTCATTGGTGTCTGTCCATGGAATCAAGGCTTGTTGTTATGTAGTGCCTAAAAGACTGAGTTACAAATCAGGAGATTCTCAGTTTGAATCTCACTTCTGGCTTGAATTCACAAGGTGATTTCAGGCAAACCACTCTGTTTCAGCCTCAGCCCCCCTCATCCACAAGGGGGGGCAATAACAATACAAACTTGACGTTCTGAAGGAAAGCTCTAAAGAAGGAATGAGGAATCTATAGTTCCTGAGCTGAATGTAGTCTTGGGGGCGAGGGTGTCCCCATGTAGCTGTAAGCTTTGTCTTTTTTTTCCCCTGAGGTAAAAGGCTTTTGAACGTCTGGAAGGCTGTAGTGTGGCACCGTACTCTGGTTTGCATCCCAGGACGCTTATGCCTGAGTAGACTTGCCTAGAGTTAGCTTGTGCTTTGGAGATTTAGTGGGAAGATATCTAGCTCTGTAAGAATTGCTTCTGGCCCCTATTTGTGCAATTTGCTTTATACAGATTCTTTTTCAGTAGTGATTTACATTGTGATTTAAATACTGTAAATGTAAATTAGAGCCACCTCAGTTTGTTTTAACTTTGTTCCTGCTCATCCACCACATAGAGGATGCACAATAATCTACTGTCTGGAGAAAATTATAATATCAACTGTTATAGTTGTTGTTGTTTTGCAGACTGTTGCTTTTTAATTTGCTGATAGATGTGGTGGTGCCATTTCATCCAGTGTCCGCAAGGTGGCATGTTAACCTTTGAGACTGTTTTTAGAAGGCTAGACTCCTCTCTACTTGTCCCTCTGTTCAGTCAACCAGGGGAAAGAACAAGAGGGAAAGATCCTTTCAAGGATCCTCTGTTTAGGTAGATTATCTGCATTCACATCACATCTAACCAACTGACGAAACATAAACAAACAAGCAAAGAGTGCGGATTTTCATACGGCTTGTTCTTACGTGCCATCAAGTTGATGTTTGGCGCCAGTGGTAGGGTTTTCAAGGTGTGTGAGATGTTCAAGGAGCGGTTTTGCCATTGTCACACCCAACTGAATTTCCATGACAGGGAGGAGATTTCAAATCACATCTGTTGTGTCCTAGTCTGATGCTCTATTCGCTACGCTTCATTAGCTCTCTGTACGTTTTGTATGCTCTAGTTTATGAAGACGCCGGCCACAGAGACTGGCAAAACATTAGGAAGAAAAACCTCCAGAACATGGCCAAACAGCCCGAAAACCCCACAACAACCAATTTAATTATGATTTCTTTTTTTCTCTCCCTCCTTTCCCCATGGCTGGCAGTGAGCTTTCTAATCTTGGCAACTAGCTTTCTTGCATACTTGGTACTTCTCGAGGAATATTGCTCAGTAAGATTACATGGGAAGTTCTTGATTCGACTGTTACCTCCTTCATTATCTTACTACACAACTTGAGGCAAACCATTAAATGGAGCTTAAGGGATGGCAGGATGCATGATTTCCCCCCCCTACTAAATGAATAACATTAAGGATGCCTCAGACAGAGGACTTCTAGTACCACTGATTGAAAAGCATTGGGCAGTAGTTTCTCCCCTTCATTGTTTTGCTTTTTTGTGTTGCTTTGCTTTTTGTGTGTGGCAAGAGTAAGGTTTGGAGACGTGATGGGAAGGCTTGGCAAGAGAACAAATAGGAGAGGCTGGTGTTTGGACTTCCTGCAAAATTCTATGAAAGAGGCAGAGCCGTTGCACAGGAAAAGCCTCCTCTCTGGATCTTCGTGTCTGTTTGCCATGTTAATACCTGAGAAGGGCCACTGAAGCTATTATGAACTGCTTTGACATACGTAGACTATAGAAAAGCAAACTGTTATTGGTAACTCGATAGCTCAGGGTCTGCCCCCAAAGTGTGACTAATTGCTGGATATCTTATAGCACAGATTAGGCAGGATCTTAACTTCTTGTTTTCTGAAGCAGAAGAATGGATGATTAATGACGGGTCAAGCTGAAGGACACATGGATTTAGGGATTCACCTGCAGCGTAGCTGGTCTGGAAAATGGGAGAAATGTTTAAGAGATGATGAAGGGGTTCTTCAACATTCTAGCTAACTGGATTAAATGGAGGAGGACGGTAAAGCAGAACAAGAATGGAATAAACAGAATGGTGTTTATTGTTCCTTAGTTATATTCTGTCTTTTCTCCAATGAGTGCAGGGTGATATACATGGTCTCCTTCTCCTCACTTTGTTCTCACTACTTTGTCACATAGATTGGGCTGAGAGAGAGCATCTGGGCCACATCGCCCAGTGAGTTTTGTGGCTGAATGGGGATTTGAATCAGGACCTGACTTTCTAGCCACTTCAAGAGGCAGGCTTTTCTTTAAATAACTGGTTGACCAGGTTGATTTGTTCAGGGAGCATTTTATTCTGTGTTCCACATCTGTTTTTGATATTGTTCTTAGTATAAGTTTTAATATGCTAGTTGTCTAATGCTCTTTTAATATTGTAATAATTTATTCTTTGGGTCTGCTTCTTTTAAATGCTGTAAGCCGCCTTGAATCTTCCCTTTTGGGAGAAAAGCAGCCTACAAGTATTTAAAAATTATTTACTAGAACTGTTGCTGGAATAAGTTTTAATCAATGAACTTTGTATAAATTTGCATGTGATTGAATCAGTCATTTTGAAGAAAAGACCGTATTTCTCTAGTTTTAGGTTATGAATTTTATGGGTTGTAGCAAGCACTCCCTAGGAAAAGGCATGCCTCCCCCATCTGTAACAGAGAAGGGCCTCTTACAAGACTGTGCCCACCATAGCAGTTCCCCAAAACTGAAAATGCAGTTCATCTAGGGCAGGAAAAGGCAGTTTGTGTCGGGATTTCTGTGTAATGAAAGGGAGAGCTTCTTTTGGTTCCCTTCCCCAGAGATCCTCATATAGACCCCATTTTGCATTTGGGAACAGGGGACCAAGAAAAGGTTCACCACTCCCAGAAAGGAAAAAAGGATCCCGCTGTATGGAGCAGATGCCCATGCATATATTTGTGGCCCAGGCCACCAAATTAACATCATATGCAGTAGAGGTTGAAAACTTTGTGTGCTCTTCATTTTAGAAGGCGGCCTGAGCAGCTTTTTTTTCTTTTTGTTCCCCTCAAAGGCCACCTCGGGGAAGTTCACCCCTCTGGACCAGTGGCTGTACTTCGATGCCTTTGAGTGCCTCCCTGAAGAGGAGCATGGTGTGCGGTTGACGGCGGATGACTGTGCGCCTGTGGGTGTTTATGTCTCTGAAATTTGTACTTTGTTAGGGCACCGATAGGAATCTGTTCACACTGTTTCCAGCCTAGAAAAGATGCTGGCAGTGCTTACGTCTTGTCTGTATCTGCTCTCCACCTCTGTGTTGCCCCATGGTAGACTATCATTTTCATACAGAAACATCTCACTGTCTTTTCCTAGTTTATAAAGGTTACTTTTCTGGACGATAATATTCAGATTCTTCCAGCCAATAAGATCACTGAGGTCTGGAGTGTTGTAAGAGAGTTTGAAAAGATAACTCGACCAAGCTGTCTGTGCCCTCTTTTTTTATTTGTTCCCCCCCTCCCCATCTCGCCATGCCACTGCTGTGGAATTTGATGTTCAGAGAGTCCAAGCTCTACCTCTGTCAGGACAGGTGTGAGCCAGCTCCATAAGGATTGCTTTCATTTCTGTCTCTCCCTTCTTTGGAAGATGCTTCTTGGTTCACTGATACCTGCTCTTTCTACCCTCTGACAGCGTGACAACCGCTATGATGGGCAGATTGCCATTTTCGGGGCTGACTTCCAGGAGCAACTTGGGAAGCAGCAATATTTCATGGTGAGTGAGTATGGCTATATGGAAAGGTCCTGAAGCATCGTACAAAGCAACGTTCTTACTGCACAGTCCGTCATGAACGCATTAGGGTTCAATGCCACAAGTTGTAGTGTGTCTTCTCAGCTTGTGGGGTGGGGCTAATTTTTCAAAGCACAAGTCAGCTTTTCTTCTGAGCCATGGATGTTTCTTGGCTCACGTTCTCTATTACCACTAATGTAGGACAGTGACATAATGTAATATATGTGGGTGGATGTGGGAGGGGGGGGGAGAGAGAGAGAGAGAGAAGTAAACTAAGAGTGCACAAGAAGAAGAGGAAACTAGGATGTAATGGGTAGTAATAAATCTGTTAATACTCTGAAGTGACTGTCCCCTTCTCTAGTTTGGGCACCATCATGCCTTCAGACCTGATGCTGCAGTACTAGTAAGATGTTGTGCTTAAATCTCTGGCCCTTCTACCATGATAGGATGCTTTTTTAAAAAAGAAATGAGAATAAGAAGTTCTAAGCAATTTTCCTTCAATCAAATTGGCTACACTATCACTGTCGTCTTCAGCTGGGAAGGTGTTTTGTGCCTTCCAGTTCTCACACCATATTTCAGCCTTCCTTCAGCCTGTTTTTCGGCTGTTTTGGTCTACAATTCCCATTGTTCCTCCCATCCAGCAGAGCTGCCTAGAGTGGTCCTAACCCGACCAGATAGGCGGGATATAAATAAAATAAATAAATGAATAGATAATGGGAACTTGAGTCCTGCCTATCTGCAGCATGCCAGATTTACAATGATATATGTGTAACGCTTCCAAATTTTAATACAATTGTCTTGGAGCATTTCCTGTACTGGTCAGGATAGTTTAATCATTCTGACACTGACGTGGCGAAAATGGCTTGACTTCTCATTTAATTTTGCTTCTGCTGTTTCCAGTTCTTTTACAGCAGGGGGAGCATTGTTGGCTTTAGCTTGAGAGATGACACTCACTGAAGAAGAATGGTTTTTATATGACGAATAACTGACCTAGATTTGTTCTGCAGCTGCTATGGGAGTCCCTTTGTAAATTTGCAAACTAAAATGTGCTAGGACAGTTGCTGGCTTGAAGGATCTGGAAGATCTCTTCCTAGTTACCATAACCAATTGCTATATGTTGACTCTGGATTTTTAGCACCACCACTGGAAAAGACTGCAAATAATCCATCTTTTTAATATATATCTGTCACCTTCTGCAAACCTGAATGCAAAGAATTTATGGTAAATTTGACTTAGATCAAGATGTGTGCAGATCTGCACAGTCGCACAACCCTCTAAGATGTGTGACTGTGCAGGTGTGCATGCCTCCGCCCCCTTCTCTGCAGTTTTCCTCCTTCTCCTCCATGCACCTACAGCTATAGTTTCTGCCCCCTTTGGGTCACAACTGAACCCCACACAGGGAGGATAAGTCACACACTGGGGGGGCAGAGCCCCACCCAGGGGGTCTTAAAATTAGAGGGAACATTGACTCAATCCCAGTGGATAGCGTGCTTCCCTCATCCATGAAATGGACAGAATGGGCCATTTCCCACATTTAGACGAGGAATGGGGATCCTCTGACCTACAAACTGGAGGTAGCCCATGGTAGTTGTCCATAAAGCCTGCAACCTTCTTTCACTATTATATGTCATCAGGGACTGGTTGTAAGAAGTTATTTAAAGCCTGGGAAGCTGCTGCATGGAACTGAGCTCTGGAGCATAGCTGAGGAGGCCGTTGCAATGAACAGAGTTGTACTTTTTGACCCAGGAAGCTGTTGCACTTGGGCTTGCTCCTGAATAGACAAGAATATTTCTGTTGGTGGGGAAATGTTTCAGTTTGGTAGAGTTAAACATAATTCCCTCAACCTGCTGTACTTCGGTTGAATCCATGTCCTTGGCCCCACCCACTTCGAGAATGTGGCCCCCCAAGACTCTTCACAAATTAGTATCCAACCCTTAGGGAAGGGGGTGAAGCTCATCCAACTTGCATCTTTCTGCCTCAATTCAAATATTTGGAATAGAAATAAAAAAAATTCAATTGTATCACTTTATAGAATATATATTAATATATTAATCTCTGGATTTGCTTCATATGGTTTCAGCCTAGCACCTGAGCCCACCAGATGCAGTACTTGGAAGGTCCAGGAAAATACTAAATTGCACCTTTTTTTTTGTATCCAGTTAGTTCTTAAAATCTAATTCAACCAGTGTACACTCCATATTGTTGTAAGCCGCCCAGAGATCTTTGGGTGTTGTGGGCATAAGTTAGTTAGTTAGTTAGTTAGTTAGTTAGTTAGTTAGTTAGTTAGATAGATAGATAGATAGATAGATAGATAGATAGATAGATAGATAGATAGATAGATAGATAGATAGATAGATAGATAGATAGATAGATAGATAGATAGATAGATAGATAGATAGATAGATAGATATTTTTCATCCCATGCCAGACCAACCTCCTCCAGACTTCCATGATGCGTTCATTTTTAAGGAGGGTATCATTTGTAATTGTGAAATGTAGCTTCCCCCCCACCTTGGTCCATTTAATGCTGCTCATATATGATAACATTATGTTCTCCACCCCATGTTTATTTGTATGTTCCTTAAATTGCAAAACCTTTCTAGGGGTCAAACATCCTTGGAGTTAAGTTTGGTGGAGGTGAGATCACTGCAAGGTCACCCATATTCAGCAGGCGCTGAGTCACATACTGGTAATCCCGGACTTCACAACACCTACAGAAAGAGTTGGTAGATAGTTGATTTATAAGATAAAAGAGGGTTGGGTTGATGTTACATCCTGGTTTTACTCCTTTTTCTTGTTTGATGAACTTGTATTGTTCTTTATGTGTTACACACATTTGATGAATTGGCAAATGGATCTGATGAACTTGTGGGTTTTCTTTCTGCTGCTTTTGTTGTAACAAAATTCAGGCTTAGTGTAGAGCACCCGATGGAGGTCACATTGTACTGATTGGTTCCCTTTCTTTTTACATGTTTTTGGCTAATAATATCTGTAATATAATATAAAACATGGTGAACAGTTTGCTTCTCATAGAGACATAGTTCAGTTTATCAAGATATGAGTTTGATTCTACAATTGCATTATTCAAATACTGGGCTTCTGCAACAATTTCTGATGCCATTTGTAATAACTATAATAAGCAGTACCACCCTCTGCAGTCTTTATTTACAGTATATTGAACCCTGTGGTACAGTAGTTAACCTGCAGTACTGCGGTGAAGACTCTGCTCATAACCTGAGTTTGATCCCAAAGGGTCAGGTAGCAGCTTGAGGCTGACCCAGCCTTCCGTCTGTCTGAGGTCAGTAAACTGAGTACCGAGCTCGCTAGGAAGGGAAGTTTATGGTCATTGACCAGCAAAATTAAGATACATTATTTAAATTTGGGGACATAAAAACAATCTAAAAGCATTAAAAACACTAAAACACCTAAGCACTAAAAACATCCATATACATATATATAAAACCGCATTCATACATCTTACTAAATATCTCCTACTCACTATCATAGGCCTTATCTATGGACTATTACAGCTTATATAGAATGCCAAAATTGTTACTTTGAAGCTCGTAGGGCCCGTGTGAACATTACCAATTTATACACCAATTTACAGATTCTATAGCTGCGCTCTAGGTGGAACCTTTCCTTCACGGATTTTGATTGCAGCAGCACAGAATTTAGCTACTTTTGTCAGCATATCTGAATTTAGCCCAGTATATCTGTCTGAGGTCAGTAAACTGAGTACTGAGCTCGCTAGGAAGGGAAGTTGTTCCTTGCGTAATTATGTTGTAAACTGCCCACAGAGAGCTTTAAGCACCTCCCTTGTGAGCCAGGAGGTGAGGCTGAGTAGCCTGACACCGAGAGAGGCCCGGAAGGAAAAGACGTGAAACCAGGCCTTCTCGGCGGTGGCTCCTTGCCTCTGGAATAATCTCCCTGCTGAGATTAGCGCGGCCCCCACTTTGCGCACTTTTAAAAGTCAACTAAAAACATGGCTATACATTCAGGCCTTCCCTCCAGCTAACACCTGATTTTTCTCTTTGTCTATTTTTATTCTATTTTTCCCTATTTTTATTCTGTTTTTTGCATTGTGTATGTTATAATATGATTTATGTAATTCTTTGTATTATTTTATTGTTTATATTCACTGGAAGCTGCCTAGAGTGGTCTTTTAGGCAGATGGGTGGGGTATAAATCAAATAAATAAATAAATAAATAAATATGGGGTGGTATATAAGCAGTACACTTTTCTTTATATTGAAAACTGCAAACGTCATTTCCATACCACATCGAAATGTGTACAGTAATCCGTTCCAAAAACATCATCGCTATCCGGATTCGTCACTATGGAGGGGGGAAAAACCCATAGGAACAGGGTCAGGTAGCAGCTTGAGGCTGACCCAGCCTTCCGTCTGTCTGAGGTCAGTCTAGAAGAAAGAAAGAAATGTTTTATTATGGTCATTGACCAGCAAAATTAAGATACATTATTTAAATTTGGGGACATAAAAACAATCTAAAAGCATTAAAAACACTAAAACACCTAAGCACTAAAAACATCCATATACATATATATAAAACC